GCCAATCTGATGAACTTCCTATTCCTATTGTTAAATCATCTGCATAGGCTATAGATTTGAATGTCTGATTGTATGAGAATATGCCTTGTATGTCTTTATCAATTGCTTGAAGCAAGGGTTCAAAGGCCAAAATGTATAGTAGTAGTGAGAGAGGGTCACCCTGTCTTACCCCTCTTTCTACTCTGAAAGGTTCTGATAAGGAACCTGATTCGAATATATGAGCCTCTTGGTTAGCAAAGAGGTTCTCAACCAAATTTCTGAATTTCAGGTTAAAATTTATTTTCTCAAGAACTAATTGTAGGAAGGTATGATCGATATCCACCAGTAAAAGCCAATATTGCTTGGTGAGAGCAGTCTGATTTCTCATTATTATAAGTGCATTCAATGCTGCATCTGTTATTGACCTTCCCAAAATGAAACCCTGTTGGTGAGCCGGAATTATCAGGCTGTAAATCTTATTTAATCTAGTGGCAATAATCTTCATGAAGATCTTGGCATCGCAGTTTACCAGAGAAATTGGTCTCTAGTTGTCAATGTCCTTCAAATCTATTGATTTCTTTGGTATAAGAGTAATTAAGTTTTTATACCATAATTTGGGCAAGAGGCCTGAGTTAAGAACATGGTTATAGACTGTTTCCAAAACAGGAACAATATCATTTTCAGTTTGTTTGTAGAACTCGTATGTAAGGCTATCCAGCCCAGGAGATTTGTTGTTTGGAAGTTTCCTGATTGTCTCAACTATTTCTTTTCATGTAATTTCTCGTGAAAGTTCTGCATTTTCTGAGGTTGGAATAGTAGGAAGGTCATTTGTCAGAGTTGTTGCTACGTCTAAATCAATAGTTTCCTCCTTGTAGAGCTTTGCATATTGTTCTTTGATATACTGCAGGATTTGATTATTACCAAACTTAGGTGGAACTTCATGGTCTCTGATATTCTTGAGTGCTAAGCAACTAGTTCGGGACTTATATCTTGAGAAGAAATATCTTGTTGACTTTTCTCCTTGCTCCACTCAACTAGCCTTAGAGCGTGTTTGCTATCTGTCTGCTAGTTGTAGCAATTCATCCTGAATTTGAAGATTTAAATTATTAACCATTGTATGTAGCTGCATTTGACTTGGGTCCTTCGCTAGTTTTTCTTTTGATTTGGTTATTTTTCTATTTAGGAGAGCCAAACTGCTTTCCAGGGCTTTGAGTTTTCTGCAAGCTCTTATGATTGATTGAATGCATATTTTGTGCCAGTCCCAGTCTTCTACTAAGTTAAAAGATTGGATTTCTGCTACGACCTCTTTTTCTATAAGTTTATTTTTGAAACAGTGTTTGTCGAATCGGTTTGTTATTAAGATTTAAGGTGCATTTGACTAACAGGTAATCCGAGTTGCCAAATAAAGTTTCTGTTTTTTCCACAAGTGAGATATAATTTTCATCGATGAAGATATAATCTAATCTAGTAGCCATAGTTTGGTTGTTCCGTGTGTTTTGGAAGAAAGTCAGGAAAGGGTTGTTTCTTTCAAAAGATGCTAAGTCAACAAAATTGTTTGTAAGTCTTTTAAGCTGTATGCGTGTTGCATCTGGTTGTGCTAGTGCTTGACTAACTCAGTTTGTTTCTGGGTTTATATTGGTGTTAAAGTCTCCATCCAATATGTTTATCAATTCTTCATCATAAAGTGATGTTTATTTTTCGAAGAATTCACTTCTGTCCTTACTATTTGGAGGAGTATAAACATTGGTGACTTGGAAGAGGTGATTTTTATAAGCAATTTTTGTTGATATGACTCTCCCTCCATGAGATATCTGAGGGTTTGAAAGCTTTATATCTTTCTTGCTAGCTAATATAGCCGTTTTATCAGCCCAAACTGAATTAAATAGCCATTGTCTTTTAAGGAAGTCTCTTGTATTTTGATTCTCTGTATTTGTTTCTTGTAAAAAAATTATGTCTAATTTATATGATTTTAGTAAAGTTAAAGTTTTCCATTGTTTTTCTTGATTGTTTAACCCTTTTATGTTAAGGGTTGCTATATAAACCTTTTTGTTTACTGTCATAGAAAAACTATTTTAATTAAGTGGGAATGGATATCCCTCTTTAGCCCTTTTGTATGGAGAAGTTTTTATGTGAACTTGTCTGGTTTTGTTGTTAACGATCTTTTTTTGTTTCTTCTTATTCATCACTGGAATAAAGCCCTCTTCATCAGCCTCTATTGACTCGTTGTCAAGAGGCTTGGAGGATTTTCCTTGATCTTTATAGGCTTGAACGGGATTATTCAGTATAAGCTCATCTCTTGGAACAACCAAATCTTGGGACTCTATAGAGTTTAGTTCTGGAGACTGTATATAGACAAAATCTGAAGAGTCAGAGTCCTTGTCTGTTACTATGTCTTGCTCTTTAGGAGAATCTTTTTCCTCTGTGGAAGAGGATGTCACTGATGATTCAACTGAGTCTTTAATTGCACTTTCTAACAAAGCAATAGTGATTTTCTTCTCTTTATTTAGGGGGCTATCTGTTGATTCTGAGAGAATTTCTCTCCTTGTAGGTTCCTCTATAGTTGGTTTCGAAGCTGGAATTTCCATATTGGAAGAACCAGCATTACCACTTTGAAAGCTTCTTGTAATTTTGACTTGTTCTTTATATCTACGATAATGGTCTCGAAGAGCAAGAGATTCTTGAAACTGCTTGCAATCCTTCTTAATATGGCCTTCTTGGTTGTAGAAAAAATATATACTGAGGGCTGCTCTCCATTCTGTGGTAACTTTATTGTCCCCTACATGAGTGAAGTGTGGTAGATTCTTTTCTAAGTCTGGATCATCTGTGGTTTCAAACTTAATGATCCACTGATCCATTAAATATGGGGTTCCTTCAATTAGGAGAGGTTTGATGGAGTTGATTTTGCCTATATCTTCAAAGGCCTCCTTAATAAGAGTTGAAACCTGATCTCTGTTACCTAATGGGACATTTCTAATCTTGACTGACAAAAAGGATTTGCGGGCATCTGTTGGGATGTAACCTATATAAGTCTTGTTAAAGATTTTTACTCCTTTTGTAGCATATTCTCTAAGCAAGCCAAAGCTTGCAAAAACAATTTCTAGTTGTGAGCATGATCCTCTTTTAAGATGTTGTTTAATTGCTACAATATCATTTCCTGCACTCTCATGTAGAGAAGAGACAATTTCATTAAATGAGCTCAGAAGTTGAGATATGTCAATGATAAGTGCATTATCATTCTTAGACTTGATTTGATCCCTTGGGGAGAAAGTAGAGTATGTAGCCTGTCCTCTCGCAAGTTTAGGAAAAAGGTTTGCCCATTGCTTTGGAGGGGAGGTTGAGGTTTCTTGTCGTTACGAGAAAAAGTAGAGTTGATAGTTTCTACTTGCCTATATGGGTTATCCTCTGATATTTGTGCTTCTGGATTTGCATGATGGTCACGTGACAGGCCTGGAACTGCCAAATCTTTTTCAGTCACATGTTTTGTTTTGATGTTTTGTTTATTCTCTTTGTTTACTTGTAGAGATGTGATTGAAAGGTCCCAAGGATTTTCCTGTTAAACCAGATCAGCTCAACTTTCTTTCTTGTCTGTTTGCGGAATATTGATGGGGACCTCCAAGAGTTTAAAAGTATTGCTGTTGTTGTTTGTAGTCTTGACTTCTGATAAGGGGAGGTTGTTTTTGTTGTTCTCTTCTTTACTAGTAATCTTGACTAGATCTGTCATTTTGAGTTTTTTGTGGGTTGTTCTTGAAAGTGTTAGTTAAAAGAGTCTTCTCTTTTTTGGTATAAGGGCCTTGGCTCTTGCTGGGCTTGACTTGAAAAAGTTTTCTTCTTTGTCTGGAGTAATTATTTTGTATTTTGTTAAAAACTCTATTCCTGCCGAATGTGTACAGGAAAGAGTTGTGTAGATCCTTTTTTATACAACAGATTTAATTAAAAGGTATGGACCTTTAAATGGATTTTCTACTAAAACATATGAAAGTTTTTTATAAAGATTTTGTCAAATCACCTTATTCTTTGACCAATAAAAAAGATATAGAA